AGGTATTCTTGGTTGGAGTGATTATATTACAGGATGTGAGTATATGTCCTAGGCTGAGCTCTGTCAGGTACTTATGTCTTCCTACCACCTTCTCTCTGCACTTTTTCACCTTGAAGTCTTACCCTTGGAAGAGGGAAAGACAGCTAAGCGAGCAGAAAGGGGATCTGTGAGATCACCCAGGCAGCCTTGGGCACTTTCCATCATCACCTTGATGGAGCAGTGCACTGGGGTGCAATGGGGGAGGAGCTCAGGAGATTAAGAGACACAAGGATTTAAAAAATTGTAGGGGGCAACACCGATTAACTTTAATTGCTAAAAAAAAAAACTAAGAAAAGGAGACAAACTAAAGTGGCACATTCTGGGGATGGGAGCTCACAGAGGGCCTGCAAGACCCTGGGAAGAAAGTAGATCGCTGTGTAGTGCACAAGGTGCAGGAGGCATGGAAATGTCTGAAGAACAGGAGGAGGAGGCTGGCTTTGTAGAGGGATTGGCATAGAACAAGTATAAGAGGGTGAAAGGGAGAATTTGAAAGGAGAGGAATCATATTTATCAAGAAAAATCATAGAATCTTTTACTACAGAGACATTTACAGAACAATGGACATTTATACCTTACCTCTACGTTATCTGTGCCCCAAAATTTGCTGGCAGAATTGTCTAATTTTCCTTAATTCTTATAATTTGTGTTAATAATGCTGTTGCTGTGTTGTGAATTAGCAGGAAAATCAAGATTGTGATTATATTGTTTGGATTGTCCCTATGTGTGTTCAGCTACCCAAGTGACACACAGAATTGAGATAAATATACAAGTTACTTCTGAAACAGGTCTTATAAGCTATTGTTATCATTATTATTGTCTTGTTGGGTTTCAAGCAGTACATCACTATGGTGACTAGAAACAGTTCAGATTTCATCGTTGTTTTCTGCTTTTCAGACTCAAAAAGATCATTACATGTCTTGAATTACTCAGTTTCCCTTTGGAAGTTTTTGATGCAGTCACGAGGGATGGAAATAGAAAGTGGAAATGTCTTCCGCTGATACTGAGACGAGTCATGCACATGCACTTTGAGTCACCAGACACCAGCACAGTCACTGAACCTGTGGCTGGTGTTGCTCCCTGCTTCCTCTGCATCAGACAGAAACTCCTGAGCCTTTTTTGTGAATCAAGGTGAAAAGCTGCTCTGGATTGAGACTATTTTTTGTCAGTTTCTGAGTTAGTTTTAACCCAAGCCAGCTGCTCACGTTGGTTCTTTGCATGGCACAAGAAATACGGAGGCAGAGGCAGAGGAGTAATTGGCCCAGGTGAGGTGAAAGCAGGATGCTGCCTTTCAGCATCAGTGCCAGCTTGTGCTGCCATAGCATGCGAATGCCAAACAGCCTATGTGGATGCCTGAAGCAAGCTACATCCTTAACATCACTTCTATGAAAATATAATGCTAAAAATTGCAGTTTTCTGCTAGTCACATAAGGATTGATTCACAGATACTACAGTATGGTATTCTTAATATCTAAATTAAAAAATATCACTGCATTGCACCTACTCACTTTTCTGGGATAATGTTTGCTTTTTGAAAAGAAACCCTGAAGCAGGGGTTTCATCTCAGACTAACAAAATAATCCAGAATTACTTTTTTTTTTCAATGAACTTCATAGGTGGAAGGTGCAGGAAAATTGTGTATCAAAATCATGTATCTAGAGTCTAGTAAAACTGATCAATGATCCAGCCTGAATTTATGTCTATAGTGTAAATAAATCACTTTTTTGCCAAGTTGTCTCAGGCATCCGACAATCATAAACTTAAAAATATTCTCTTCAAGTTCTCTTTTGCCTAAAGTTACAGGCAGAATCACATGCAAATGCCTGAGGATAAGAAATGTCATATTGATGGATCCTTTTCCTGGATTGGGCACTGGGGGCCCAATTCTGCTCTCTGTTCCCTTCTGCTGAATTGAATGGCATTGCATTGACATAAATGAGAGCAGAAAGGCAGCTTGGGTGTGCCTTTCACAATCAATAACAATAATTTCATATGAAGATGAATTTTCCAAGCATATCAGAATCAATTAATGTGCTACTGCTACTGAAAGTACATTTGCCTATATACAGAGTCTGTATTCATTCTTCTTTCCAGGAAATTTGAATTTTTGCCAGAACATTAATATGAATTGTGTTCTACTAAGTGGAAATAGAACTCCTATTCACATTTTATGAGGTAGAAGATATTCTGTATTTTCTATGAGTTTTGAGTATATTCTCCTCTATGCATTAAACTGATCTTCTTTATCACCACAAACCTTAGATAATACTTTTCTGTGAGTATTGCTAGTAACAACACAGCAAAATACCTGCTGGGCCAATCGTTTCTATTAGAGCTCATCCACATTTCAGGCTCAGTAAAGATATACACTGACTAGTCTAAATGTTACCTACTGTCCTTTCCTGTATCTTTGTGTCCATCTGCTTTGTATCTGAACAGTTATGTACAGTCAATGCCATCCAAGAGGTCAGAATCTCGGTACTCCTGTCCCACGGCAAGGAAAAGCTACACAACTGATAAACTTTTGCCCAGCAGTGCCAGCCCCTTAGCCATACATCTCAGCTTTGTGTCCCTGCTAGAGAAAAACAAACAAAACTGCCATTCCAGCATTTCTAAATTTTGAGGATCAAGACCCAGACCCAACCTAATTTTCTTCAACGTTCAGATTTTTTGAGTCAAGCGTTTGGTGGAATTAGTGCAATATGAAAGAAGTTTTAGGCAGGAAAGATATTCTGAAAACCTGCTTACTAGTGCGTTATTTCTGAATGCCATTTAAGGCATATTCTAAAACTGAGTGTACTTTATTGGCAATTCTGACTGGGAACAAAAATTTAACATTCAGCTACTGTCCAGCTCCTCCTTTCAAGCCATTTATAATTTGGAGGTAGTAAAACTTAGAGGTGTGGCTTTCCAGAGCAATCCTTAGAGCCTGTAACTAGGAAGTGTATTAAAATAAAAGCAAACCAAAATTTGACTATTATACAACTTTATTCCTCTTTAACCATATCCCTGGATTTAGCTCTAAGTGCACAGATGCCCGAGGCTCTTTTTTAATGCAGCCCACCATAGGACTACATTATTTTTCATACAGTCCACTCCAGACCCTACGTTATATTCTAGATGTACCTACATGGTTAAAGTTAAACTTACTTTATACCTTTTGATATTAAAGTGTATTTTTCACCATAGGGGTCTAATTAGAATATATTCACTCTGTAAACAAGTCGCTGTATATTTGAAGGAAATTTATTTTTCCATTCAACAGTGTAAGGATTTTAGTTAGCAGCTGATATGCAGATCAGCCAACCTTGTAGAAGAGGTAAGCAGTGTGAAATTATATGTGAGTTATTAATAATTCCTAATAGGAGGAAAAGACCTGACAGAAAGGGAGAATTAAAAGACTGTAATAATCACAGAGATGCATTAATTGGGATTCATTTCAGCACATTTTTGATACTCTGTAATGGGAGAGTCAACTTTTAACTCAGCAAGAAAACATGTTCTTCCTCATTAACAATATTTTCTCTTGACTTTAAATTCTTTTGCTTTACATTCGTACAGTGATGCCAGTACTACACTTGTATGATGGCTTTTTATTATAAAAATGCTTGTATTATAAAAATACATCAATTGAACTACAGTTCCCAAAATACAGAAAAGATTGTTTATGTCTATTCTCAGACCTTTACCTATTTATCTCCTTTTCCACTGAATTCTAAGAAGGCAGTAAAGAACTATTTGTTAAATACTGCATAATAGCAAAAGGGTTGCTGCAAGGGGAAAAAAGGAAAGGAAAGGAAAGGAAAGGAAAGGAAAGGAAAGGAAAGGAAAGGACATGCTATACTTCAGGTAAAAAGGTGGGAAACTATTTGGTGATTTTATTATGCTAGCCTTATCTGTCAGAAATTTTAATCCTGCTTTGATCCAGTTGTCTTTCTTACAACTGACTTTCAGATTATAGCATCTCTTTCTATGTGCACATATTTTCAGCACAGTGCTATCTATATGCTGTTAGACAAAACAAGATCATCTGGAGAACACTGACAACAGATTGAAATATTTTAAAGAAAACGCTTTTATTATATGTCCTTATGTCCCTAACCTTTTCTCAAACCCCTATATGTATTTCTAAAAAGGCTGTGTAAGTCAGACAAGCATGTGTGCATACATACACCACCAGACACCCACTGCACACACCCAAGCCCAAACTAAAGGAAATACTTTTCTATAATGTGGAGGATGCATAAATATCAACTAGAGGGGTAAATAATGGACATTATTTTGAATAAGGAGACAAGAGCTGAGTGGGAAATCAAGATGACTAGCTGTGGAAGAAGGCTTGATAAAAGAGAATTGAGGAGGAACAACTGAACCAGGCTGAACATGTACATGATTATGGAGAGCCAATGACAGAACCTCCATGAAAGAGGAAGTATGCAATGTATCTGCACTACTGTGTATCAAATTTCATCATAATCCATCTTTGATTTAAATACAACTATGAAGTACCATACTAGTTTACAAAGAAACTGGGACAAAACATAGAAAACAAGATTCTATCACACAGTGGATGTAGTAGAGTTCTTCTTCTTCTGTTCCATAACTTACACAGAAGATGAGTAGGATGTTCATTGCAAATGTACATACAGTGTTACACAAGTTTTTAAAGTACAAAATTACTATGTGAAAATTACTGTTCCTGTTTAAATTATAACACCTGCTTCCAATGAATTGGAAAATACCAGCATGTGTGTGGGAATTTGGAGGTGGAAGGAAAGGGAGTTAATTATTTACTGATTTTTTGGTGCATGGATTTTCTTATGTTTGGTTTTTTTATGCTTCAAAATTTTGCACTTAATTTATCTGTCCTGGATAAATTAATATTAGATAATTCCTATTTCTTTATATTCCTTAGCTGGTCAGTATATCCTTCTATTAAATTGACAGTATGTTCTCCTCTTCAGGTTGTGATTATCTTCTGAGAATTTTTAAGAAGTTTTGATAAAAACACGAACATCACAAGAACATCTTTGCATCCAGTGATCGGTTTTGCTGAGTTTTTAGATCTTCAGAAACTGAAAATAAATTTACCATTCCTATGCATTTGAGAACAGGTTAGTCTTTTCATCTGCCATGATCTACAGATGCTGGTAAGAAAAAAATTAATTTGCATTCTCATCCATTCAGTAGACTATCTCAGGTCTTTAAGGGCTTTTTCTGAGTTGGCAAAAAACCAAAAACAAATCAACAACAACAAAAAAACCCAAACAACCCAGTCATTGTTGGATCTTTTCTTTTGGAAAAATTGCATTTTCAACATTGCTTACATGATCTGTTTGGTAAGATGAAACAGTAGTTACATATTCCTCTATTGGAATTTCTTTTTATTTCTGTATATTCTCTCTTAATATTAAGAGCTTTTGTCTAGGCCAAACCCCATTGGGATTATTGTGCACAATTCATTTCTGTTAGGTTGGCAAACAAAATACCTCCCAGCACAAATTCTTAGAGCTCGTGTTCTACTTCGAAGATATTTTCCTCCGTGCAAACAGGAAGGCTGAAAATGCATATGATCTCTTCCTCATCATTTGAGATCAAGCATGTACTCCAAAAATTACATATTTGTAAAGGGAACAGGTCTCATGCTACTCCTTGAGTGGCAGCAGACCATGCACTCTGAAGATATTCCTTGGTTCAGTAATCTCAGTTATTTCAGGAGATTACTAACATTATGAGTTGTACCATTAAACTACGGATTTGCTTTACAGCAAAGACAAGGCTGTTGAATGAACAGAAAAGAGAAGACTTTATAAATTGTGCCTTATCTTAGTAAGTACCATGTAGGGTCTTTTATTAAGGCTATCCAACATCTTGTACTATAGGATAACATTCTCAGTTGCTCTTAAATTCTAATTTTTATGCAATATGGAGATTGAAATTTTTTATGTTGCTTTTATTTCTCTTTGAATATATCAGGCAAAGCACACAATCAGACAAACAGTTCTGTTTCAGAGCCTTCAGTGATGTGGTTTAACATGTAGCTTAATGAAGAATTGTGTCAGTACAACTTAGGACATGGAGAACTATGGTACAGGACAAGCTGCCAAGGTCATAAGTTTTTTGAAAGCTTGCATATCAGAAAATCTGTTCTAACTTCAGGGTTGAGATCTTTTTAAGAACAAAGTAACACAAAAGATGGTAGAAAAAAGGAATCAGCTATTGGATTCAAGGAAAAGGAGGTAGGAAGAGAAACTACTGTAGACTGGGACAGGTATTTTTTTGATCAAAATTTGATCAAGACAGGAATTAGCTGATTGGGGAAAATGCACATGAGAATACAGGTATGAGAAGATGAACAGGAATCATACAGGGTATCAAGGGCATGCTGAGACTGGGAAAACAGAAAGATGAAAATGAACACAAAAAGGAAAGGAGATGGACAACTAAGCAAAAAGAAAGCCAAAAGCCAGTGGTAAGTGGGCATGGCAATGTCAGCGTGATTGATTTGTGTTTGGCCGTAAGGAAGGTCAGAGTATACTAAGAGCAAGGAAGCAGCAAATGAAAAGAGAACATGAGAAAATGAAGGAGATGAGAAAATGAGACTGGATGCAAGAATCTGAGGGACTGTGAAAGGCTGGGTATAGATTGTAGATTTTCAAGGGATAAATTATGTAAACCTAAAGGAGACAGATCAAAGTCTGGGGAAATGAGCAGAAGTGCCTGTATTCACTAGACTCCCCTCTACTGAGCAGCAGCAGTAGAACCAATTCCTGTTTCTCTGCATTCATTTGGTATCATAAAATATTTATGGTTCACATTTCCTAACAGTGCTGATCCACATATAAGATTACAACTGTATTACGGAGTTGTTGGTTGTGCCATTAGCCCAATGGTAAGCACTCGTGTGACAAGTTTCTATCCTCAGAGATATTCAAAGGCTGTCTGGATGTGGTCCTTGGCAGCTGTCTCTAGGTGACCCTGCTTCAGCAGAGGAGTTGGGCTGGATGACCTCTAGAGGTCCTTTCCAACCTCAACCTGCCTGTGACCTTGTGAAGTCACAGCCTAGTGTCAGGCAGTGTGAAGGAGGAGCAGATCCAGGGGAATGGCTAGGTTTTTCTGAGTTCTATGGTAAATAAAATGCCACTTACCCTTCAATTTCTCTCTCCAGCCCATACACAGCAGTTTCTCAAAATTAAACAGGTGTCAGAATTAAAAATTTCTTCTGGGGCATTATTTCTGCTCCTGTAGATTAACGGTTGGACTCAATGAATTTAAGGTCTTTTCCAACCTTGACAATGCTATAATGTTTTTAGTTGCAAAATTGCATGCTATTTTTTCACTGCCCCTTAAGACCTGGGAAATCATGACTGATTTAACAAAGCCTGATTGCCACAATGCAAGAAAAGGATTTGTAAACACAATGATTCCTGCCAATAAGGAAATACTAGGAAAACTAATCTTCAAACAAACTTGGAAAGAATCCCAAAAATCATACAATATTTATATTATTTTCTTAGGAACATACTATTTACCCTGACTTATCATCCTTCCTGAGAACTGTTATTTTTGCGGTTTAGGGAGACCCACTAACATTTCTCTACAGTCCGCAATGAAAACTTTATAAACCAGATGCTAATAACACTGCATTTTCTGTATAATGGTGAATATAAAAATGAGCCTTCACAATTTGATCATGTACCTGTTGAGAAATTATGGAGACAAGTGATTTTAATCTGTAGAAGAGTAAGAAACATTTATATATCTATGTGAGAGCTAACAATGCAATGCGAGTTGTACTGACATACAGACAGGGGTTTGGTTTTGCCTGCTTGTTTTTGCCCATGAGCCACCAGCCCTTTGGGTGTAACTTCTTCTGGTTTTGGCACAGCTTCTACTTTCCTCTATGTTCTCTTTTCTCACAGTCCTGAAGCTGTTTCACAAATGCCCACAGAAGAGAAATACACTGGCCACTACTGGGAATTTTTGGAGGCCTTTCAGTAATTGTCTATAAGAACAGTTCAGTGAGGCAAGGCATCTCCTTACAAGCAAGTTAATTCTTAATCACTAGGGCTTTGAGTAGGAAGAAGCTAAATGTTATCATGGGAAAATGCCAAAGAAATATGGATTAGTTCTAGGGAGATGTAGGGACTCATTCTCTGTCATCTGTTGTGGTGATTTTCACGTGCAGCACAACAGCCTTAAGTAGTGGTATACAGGAGTAAATGATGACAAGTTTCAGCAGAGCTATAGGGTAAAACAGCTGTTTGTAGATCTTAACTCCATGAAATGAAAGGTGAAAAAAGGCATGAATTCTATCCATACAGAGTGAGCACAAGCAAAGCAAAATTTTACATTGGTTTCTTTTTAACTTTCGATAGTTCTTCACTTTTGCATTAGAACTAGTTTTTCCTCTGCCGTGCTCTACTTTCCTACTCCCATTTAAGCCTGAAGCAGAATCTTTTCTCATAAACACTGACTCTGCATTCCTTGAGTCTAATTGCATAAGTGTCCCATGGGCTTGCAAAAAATGTGGTGCTGTATACTCATGGCTTTGACTCCTGAGTGTATGAACAAGACTCAGTGTGATCTGCCAAGTCAAATTCCTAGGTGCGTAACCCCATGTACAGTATGACAGTGATGGCTCTAGAAGCACATGTGGTCTCACATTTTTAAATGTGTAATAGTGTTAGGAAGCCCCAGAATAATTTTTGGTATGTATATTTACAATTCTAAATACATATATATGTATGTAGGTGTGTGTATACTTCTCAAAAAGCCTGAACTATGCACTTGGAATGTTCTTTAAAATTTGCTTTCTGGGAAAATACACAGCAACTGATGGCACTATTGACATAATTCATAAAGGGAATAGTTGATTACCTGTTTTGTAACTGAGCCAGTGAATATTCATAGATCCCTTGGTATGGAGCTGGCATATTTCAGTTAATTAAGTCTTCTGCTTAGTTGTTGCATATGCATACTTTCTATATGAGACCAAAGTATGTTTAATTGAGGTTTGGCAGATAATACCTAAGAGAGTTTGCAAACAAAGCAGACTCTGCTGTCATTTCCATAAATGGAATGATATGATTTTACAGACACATATACAGAAATGTCACCCCATTTCAGAAGGGTCTAAAATTCACAATCTTAGGGCATGTTTCAGTTAGAAATTGGCAGGAGAAACACTTCTTTTGAGGTAATGCACTTATTTCAGAAGTATATACAAATTTCTACTCAGAGTGTTTCTAAATGTTGTTGGTATTGACATTATCCTCTTTACTGAATGCATTTGAGAATACTATACAGCCTTTGAATTAAAGTTTGAAGATTTCATTTTTCCTTTGAGAGTCTTGGATGCAAGCAAAGGTAAACTAAAGATCAGAAGCTGAGCTGCTATCTCTGTTTCTTTTTTAATTTCCTGCTGTCTTTTGCTAGAAACACACACAGTGGCTGGCAAGGAGCACAGTGTGCCATAGGGTGCTCATCACCACCTTGTCCAAAATAAGATGTCTAATAAGATGCCCTGAGGCTTGTTTTGGGGTGTGTACCCAGGTACCCTTTCAATGGCTTTGCCACCTAACTGTAGTGGAAGGACGGTCGGATTCATGTCTTGATCGAATGCAGAGTCCAGACACAGCTGAGGTGTGTCCCCAAGCCAGGAACTCAGAGCTTTTGTGCCCTGAGAGCCTAGAGGTACCCCAAAATCCAACCACAAGAAAATGGTACAAGTGATGCGCTCTGCTACTCTGCTTCCATGGAGCCCTTGCCCTTCGTCCCTCCCACAGCCTAAGGACTAAAACCTCACTTTGGTGCCACAGTGTTCTTGTGTTAATGGGCACATCAATCCAGTCACTGATCTTGACTTATTCTCTTCTACCTATCAAAATGACAGCTCACTAATTTTTAGTGTTAAAATATATTTCCCTCTTTTGCTAGTCTTCCCTGCATTCTATAATCTTTTCCACCCCAATGGCACTTTCCCATGCTTTTCTGTGATATCTGTTATTGAACAGAAGACTTATGTGAGTCCACCATCTGCATCAGCATCTTTGTGTCTAATTGACTCATGACTCTTTTTGAATCCCATCTTTTTCTCTGACCCATGACTGCT